AATAAAAAATAAAATATAAATATATATAAACTACAACAATTAAATAATGTATATCACAACAAAATATAAAAATATTAATTAAATCATTACCTTTAATGCTTGTACTTGAAATTCTCCACATTTCCTACAAAACAAAAAACAAAATATATATAAATATAAAAGAAAATTGAAAAATGCAATAGAATAAACATATATATGTGAAATCTATCTCCCACCCAAATATCTCTCCAAAATCCTATCCGACTTCTGTCCCCTACCTCCCACCAAAACCCCCTTATCAACATGTCCCTTAGCCTAAGTGATTTCCCACCTACCCTTATAATATCTCCCCAAAGCTTAGACACCCTCAAATTCTACACCGCAATAATATCAACCTCTCACATACCCTCATAATATTTTTCCCTCCCACACCACCCTTTTCCATAAACTATCCACACCATCACTTAATCTATACCACCACTTCCCTAACAGCGCCCAATTTCTCCTACATAGATCTGACACCCCTACCCTCCTTTTACCTTACTACTGCAGAGGGAATCCCATTTAACCCATGAAATCTTCCTTTTACCTCCTCACCCCCCCCCCCTCCCCATAGGAAGTTCCTTTGAATAGAAATTAACTCAACAACCACAAAATTTGGCATAAAAAATAAAGATATAAAAACTAGGTAAAGCAGAGAGTACAAAATTGAGCAAGGTGAGACGACCTCCAAAGGATAGCGAAGTAGACTTCCAGACAGCAAGCTTGACGCGAAATTTATTTACCACTGGATCCCACAATTTCTTACTCCTTGGACTTCCTCCAATAGGCATACCCAAATAGCTAAAAGTTATTTCCCCTACTCCACAACACAAAATGCCTACTGCTTCTTTCAACCACCCCACAGACACATTAAACCCACACACACTACTTTTACTAAAATTAATTCTCAGTCCCGACATCATCTCAAACCACCGTAAAATTATTTTAATCATACGAATATTCCCACTCTCAACTCTGCCTATAATTACTATATCAACCACAACTACAACAAAGAAATCGATGTCTCCCTCTGTCTTATCTCCACACTGTGTAACAACCCCTCTTTCTCTGCTTTTTGCACTAAACCATGCCAACCTTCACCAACCATCAAAAACAGAAAAGGTGATAAAGGGTCACCTTGTGTTAACCCTTTCCCCATTGCAAACTCCTCCGTGGGACTTCCATCACTAA